GCATAATGAGTGATTTATAAGCATTTGTTTGAGGCCGGGTCCTTTTTGCTCTGTAAACTCGTAAGTGTGATAGGCTTCTGAACACAACACAAGGGTTAAGGTACTGAAAATGTGTGTGTGTGTGTGTGTGTGTGTGTGTGTACCTGTGGTATTGTGCTTGAAGGAACTGGAACTCGTCCTTGATGCGGTCGCACGAGTCTGACGTTGTGAACTTCAGCTGCTGCGATGAAGCCTGGAACGGAAGCAATTTATGTCGGTCAATCGCATTATTCAGAAAACGTGTCGCAGCATCAGCTGGGCATCCGGGGGGCGGACCAGCGCTGCCATTTCAATGCCAAGACCAGAAAAATCCGGCCAAAACAGATGCGGCTTTCTAAACATAGGGAATTTTGTAATCAAGAGTGGATTCAAGTGTACTGTATAAAAAGCAGCAAATGAAATCTCGAAGGCTTACTGCAACATTCAAAACTCATAATTTAGAAGGCGTCTGTCATGTCTGGAGCACGACACCACCCGAGGTTTTTGAATTACATGCATTCCGCTTGCAGGTGAGCTTATTTCCCTAGTGTGGGGGCCACACCTGTAGGGAAAATGCAGATGTTATTGGAACCGTTTTGCGCTTTTCAGGGTGGATTTTTCCTAGACTTGGTGATATGTTGGCGGTTTTCCCAATAAGCAACTGCCATACTCAAATTTTAATGAATACAGGCCTTTCAGCTTTCAATGCAATTCTGAAAAAAAAAAAGAAAACCGAGGAAGATCTCTGCTATCGCCAATGTTTCAGATTCTGGCTACTGAAAATGAACACTAGAAATGTGCATTTTGGTCATTTCGACAGTAGAATTAACTTGCGTTTTCTGGGTAGGATGAGGGTTAGCAATGAGCAAGCTTTTTGATTAGTCCAGGTAGACATGAGTCAAATGAGCTCGAACCTTTGGTCAGAGCGAGGAGTGAATTAACATGTTGTAATTTATTTTATTTTTTTCCATTAAAACAATATTTCAAGTTTTGGTATAGACCACATTAAAGAGTTTTTTTTATTATTATTTTTTTTTAAGTATAGCTTTTTTAATTTTTAGTATAAATGAGACACTATTATAGTTTTTAATTAATATTTTGAATTTGGTTTAATTTTTTAATTTTCAATTTTAGTTTTATTTAAAGTTTTAGCAATTTCTGTTGAGTGCTTTGTCAATTTTTTATATATATCTACATAGTTTTATATTCATTTTCATTTCAGTTGTACTTTTATTTACTGGCAACTTGCTGAAAAAAGTTTGTTAACATTTATTTTATATAAATCAACTATTTTTTTCCCCATAGCTTTAGGTTTTTATAATCATGCTGTTTTGAATTCAACAATATGACATGAACATGACTAACATAAATAAAAAAATTAAATTAAAAACAATAATAGAAATTACACAGAATTTATTATTATTATTATTTCCAGCATCAAAGGATTTTAAAATTGATATTTTTACAATGGATTTTTGGCTGGTATATTTGGCTTTTCAGTACTGTTTTGCTAGCATATTTAGTATAAAATAATAATATATAATGTTAATAATAATATAATATAATAATATATTATGTTTTTATTATTATCATTATTATTATTAATAATAATAATAATAATAATAATAATAGTAATAATAATGGGTTTTCAGGTTTGATCCTATAGTCCCATAAATAAAGAGAAGCAAAGATAACAAGAGACACACAAAAGAGACACAAATTCGGACACTTGTCATCCATCAGAATGCAGGACTTGTTTTTTTTTTTTATTGGGTGCTCTGATCTCTTCTGAACAATCGAGCAGCTGATTCATCATGTTATTTTCAAAATTGCCAACCTGTTCTTGACTCCTTTCGAGTGTTTGCGTTTTTCCGTTTCAAAAATCCCGAGCCACTCTGCGGGTGAGAGCTCGACGGATGAAATTCTCAGTACGAGCGGACCAACCTTTAACACAAACTGTGTACTTAGCCCGAGCGCTCTGTGCTCCGCTGCATATGAAAGAGAGGCTTGTGTCAACAGCGAGCACTTAGTGCCCAAACAGTCAATCTTTTTCAGACGCCGCTAACAGTAGCCCTCACATCTCTGCGTGGCTACAGGAGATACAGTTTCTTTAGGGAATGCTGGGGAACGGGGCCGATTGGGAATGTGTTTGAGTCGACGGCTCTTGGTGGAGCGTCCGGTGACGGGGTGTTACGTACACACAATACTTGCTTTCAACGGCGGCCATGTTGACCTGCTTGCTACACCGTAACGTCATCTGGACTGTTTAAGCAGGCACTGAACACTGTTAGCTGTTTGCTTAACAGAGAGAGCATTTTAAAACTGTGATTAATACATTAATACAAGTGTGCCAGTCCTAAAGAAGTTAATACTGAGCAGAATTGACCGTTAGCAAAGAGCTTGATTGACAGGCGATCTGACCAATAATAACGATGAATCCGTCATCTTGTCCGACAAACAAATCAGACAGGAGAGTAGATTAACTTCGGTGGACTTAAACGTGAAAAATAGTGTGTATTGTTGTCTTTCTGCTTTAAGAAAATATGAAAAGACGATCGGTTCACGTGCCGCTTGAACTGAGGCAATACAGCGATCTGTAACGGCACATTACAGAGACACAAAACGGTATTTATTGTCTGAATTTCTTTGCTCTGCGATGTATTTTTTACTGCGTGAGAACATGGTGTGTAGTGTGAGAGAGGCATGGCTTGTCAGACATAGCAACAGTAACTGAAGCTCTAAACACACTGCACGATTTTCGGCTGTCCCAGACGAAAGATTAGCATCATGAAACAATCGTGGCGATATCTGTGATTGTGGCTCCTAATCAGTGATCCTACGTCGTACAGTGAGAGAGGTTCCAAGATGGCCGTTGTCACGGTCTTGCGACCAAAGATAGCCTACGATACAGTGCGATCATCTCACAGTGTGCTTGCTGGTACGATACACGTTTACTGATCAACCAATAAAAACGCGACATGAAATCAACGTGACATGGCGCTAAAACATAAAACTGCTTACCTCAAGCTCTTATCCCTTCCTCTTTCGCCGCTTCCACTTTTTTTCAGCACACATAAAAAATACAACTGCTAAAGTGTGATTTATCATGCTCTTTTTGTTTACCACTAGCGCATGCTGATGACATTTTATTCTACTATAGTAACGTGCGTCTTAGCCTACGAGTCAATAGGTGTCATCATCGTACAGTCTACACACATCGTAGCCAAGTTTATTAGATCCATGTCGCACAGTGTGACATGCAGTGATCTTATAGGATTGCTAAAGTCGTGCGGTGTGTTTTGGGCTTAAGGAGGATGGGGTCAATTATGGTGATTTTTTTGTAATGACTCTGAACTTTGTTGCTTTGACATTTAAGTGACATGCTTATTCAAAGCAACTTTAAGGACGCTTATTACAAAGTCAATCGTTTATAAAATAACCTGGAGTTAAATGACTGGTTCAAGTGTACAGTGGTGACTTAGATTTATTCATTTTCTAGATGCTTAAAATCATTTTAAATTAAGTAAATGAACTCTGTAAAATGTAATCTTTAGCAAATAAATATCAAAATAAATATCTTTCTACCATCTATCATCTTTCATAATGTATATTATTATTTTGTTTTATTTTATGTTATTTCATTATTTCATATTTTATTTTATTTTTATGTATTATTTTATTTAGGACCAAATAGTTAGTTAGTTTGTATGTTTGTTTGTAGAATGAACGAACGAACGAACGAATGAATGCTATAACATTTCTATACTGGCCTATCAGTTAATATATTGAGACCTCTTTCTTTCTTTATTTCTTTCTCTCTCAATTCAATTCAATTCAATATGCAACCCTCTACATATACACATATATATATATATATATATATATATATATATATATACAAATATGTATATGTAAAATACTATATACACCCCTCTATATATACACATATATATATATATATATATATATATATATATATATACAAATATGTATATGTGACTAAATCCTCACTCTAGGCGACTAAATTATGTCTAATATTAGCCAGTGGCTAATAAATTCTCAGATTTTACTCGCCAGTGTGTGAGTTGGAGGCTAAGTATAAGTTTAGCATATATTTTCACTCACCGAACTCTGACTGAGCGCTTCAGAGTTTCACTCTCCATCAAGCGATCTGTGCTATGTTTCAGTTCATCTCAAAGGATGCGCAGCACACCTGCATTTGACGTACCGTAAACTGTGTAACGGCGCACGACTCGCCGTCGCTTTGGTGAGAGCAGAGCGAGCGAGAGAGTCTTACATGCATGCATAATTGACACGCTACATGTAAACGATATTCTTTGTTATATTTTGTATTATTGAGTTCCTTTGTAATTCTTCAGCTTTTAAGAACTGCCGAGTTCTCCGCTAGTGGGCGGAACTAATGCGCAAACGACAATCTCACTGGCTGGTGCTCACTTATTATCGTCCCTGTTTTGATTTCAGCAAATCAGTTCGAGCGAACGCACACAACCTGATTAATATTCATGAATCCAGCAGCTCGTTAATCCTTAGTGAGTTTTATACCGTTCTTATTAGTAGAATTCGTATTATTATTATTATCGTCTTATCAGTATTATTGTTAGTTTTTTCCCATTTTTTTTTTTTTTACAGAAACACTGAATGACCAAAAAAGCACCACCACCAGTCTTAAATGTCTATGCATTCATACATGGTTACCAAGTTTTAATTCTAATTACTAAAGTTCAATCATTAAATAATACTTGATTAACACAATATCATATTATAATGCTTTTATAAACTAAAAAATGTATTAGCCAATGGCGATTCAATTGCCAAGGTATGTGCTTTATTGGCATGACAATTGTTACAATGTATTGCCAAAGCATAGTGTTTACATTGAATCTAGAACAGATATGTATTTAAAAATAATAATAATAATTAATAATAAATACATAAATAAATACATACATGTATATATATAATTAAACAAAATAGAACAAATCAATTCTTTGAATTCCAGAATTCTATGAACAATTTAAAATTCAGTGTGGTGTGTGTGCAGGGCTCTACAGTGCGACCATTTCAATCGCATTTGCAACTGAAAACTACTGCGTGTGACTATGAAAAAATATTTACGAGCACCAGTGCGACTGACCAGATCATCATATTTGTGATTGCGCTCAGGGGAGTTTCAAAGGTTTCTACGTGTTTTTG